TAAAGACACGAACTCGATGTGCACTACCTTGTCGTTACGATGTCTCATACAAAACATATACAGGTCATTCCCCTCGTACCTCCAGATTGGCCACTTGGTTCCCTTTCTCCTTTCCTGACTCACTCATTCCGACGTACACTCCACGCTAAGCATGAGGGGGCATTATTTCCCTACTATCAGTGTCGTACGTACATGAAGAACTCGTCTTCCCGGTCCCTTTCTTACCAATCATCGATAAATGACAGCCCCCGGAAGCCGCTTGCTCCACTAGCAAACAACTCTTACAGTTTTTAGAGGTCACGCAGAGGGATATTGGTAGGCTTCCTTTGTATGTAATTGTCAGTCTCGCATGGTATTGACGGTGGCCTGATGTGGTCGATTCATGTGCGGCGAATCTAGATTATTCGTGCACAAAGGCAGAGATGCACGCCTCCCGATATGTGTATCTTATCAGCGTCGAGAAAGGTATTTTGTTCGTATCCACTTCGTCGCTTCTGCACAATGCCCCTTTTGTCATCTAGATTCTAGGTGCATCTGCCGAATTGCCTCCGACCCCACTTTGCAATCACACTTCTCTCTTCACATTACGAATATCTTACTGGTGAGTCACGTTCATTCTGGGCTAATTGCTGTGCTGCTTGACAACACAGCATACAGGCCTCACACGCAAGTGTCTTGCCTTCACATATTCATTCGGATATCACATGCTTCAGATTTTGGAAATATTCAGTCTGGTCATCACATAAAAAGGGATCGTGCTGTCAAGGGTTCCCCATCCTCTGCGCCCTCCACTTCTCTAACTTTCTCCATGGCTATAGAATCCTCCTCTGACCACGATGATGCTGCTGCTGTCGTTCGTGCTAAACGACGTATTGCGGCTCTGGAACAGGAGGTTGAGGTTCTCAGGGCCAGTAACAAGCGGGTCAAGCCGTACGTTTTTGGCCTCTTTTTGACTTGATACTCTCATTCCAAATGTGCACAGGCAAATCGACTCTAACGTACACAAAGGACGAGCCATCCGTCGGCTTGTGTCCTTGTTTGATGGACTCGAGGACCTCATAGCTGAAAACGACCGACGTGAAGAGTTGCTGGACTCATTGGATTTGCCAGATCAGCTTGTTTCTACTCAAGAGTGAGTGCTTCTCTCTGTTTGGCCCGTAACTCCCTTAACTTGGACCAGCGAGGACAGGACCATCAGATCGTTCAATGAACTACTTCGTTGCCTTCCCTGGCTCAAAAAAAAACTTTCGTCGGATGTTGATGAACTTGATTACATTTTGAGAGATGTAAGTTCTTACTTCGGGAATTATTTCTGTATCGCTGATCCTATGTTGTTAGCTGCGTAAGGGCGCGGACAGCGCCCGAGGGGATGATACCGCCAATCTCAAACATGTGATTGTCGCGTGGCTCACTGAACTTTTTCATCCCCTGGACCCGCCCCTTCACACGAATATCAAAGACGATCGCGGGTTCATCCATCACATCACTGGCAAGCTCTTGTGTCCCGTAGAGTATACTTGGTCTCTCAATTTGTAAGTGCCATCTGCACGTGGTAGTATTAATGTATTCACTGCCGCAATAGGACTAAGGAAAAAATCAGGGACAGGGACCCTGACTTTCTTGTCACAGCATACTCTTGGCCAGCAATGTTATACCTGGATTACACTTTTGACTCTGGCAACATCGAAAAGGGACTGTTTCGTTCGGCTCTGCTCCTCAAGGTAAGTCGTGCTATTTCAAATGGCCAACACTGCTTATTTGAAACAAAGGCCTTCAAACATATATTCACATCTCCATCTTCTGCCAAAGAAGTTGATGGTGATGGTGATGGTGCTGACGCTATTGTAGCCTCTCAACGCCGCCGGTCCTCTGAGAGCGACATGACTACTCGTAGTCACGTGGCAAATATTATCGGCATGAAGTCGGTTACCCCACGATCCATCGCCTACACCGCTTGCCAGGTTCGTGTGAGCGCCTTCACGTATTTTTTTTACCTTCAGGGCTAACTTTTACTTATAGCTTCGGTTCTCCCTCTCCAACGTCAATTCCTGGCAGAGTATTGACGGAGACTTCGACTACTACGTGTTCTACAACAACATTGTTGATTTTTTCGAAGTCGCACCTGGCATTGACGCACAAGCCCGCATCAAGGAGTTGCTAAAGTGGTGGAACAGGTAATATTCTCATTTTTTCACGCCCCAACTGGTCTCATTCCTGACAGGAAGGTTTTTGGAAAGACTCGGGCTATACCTCTTACACCAGCGCAGCTTGGGAGGTTCTCCGTGTCTAGGATGACTTCGCAGAGGGCTGTTCATGAGGGAGGTTCTCCTTAAGGCTGGACTGCGCAACTATATAAAATTCTTAGACTGTAGACAGATTGGTTCCAGAATATATATTCTTTATTTGTTCAAATCAGCCGATTCTCAATACTAAGCTACATGTTTCAATTTCATTGGTAGGATATAAACGAGGCAACGCGCACGACGCGCCCATAACGAGGCAACGCGCACGACGCACCAATGACGAGGCAACGCGCACAACGCGCCAATGACGAGGCAATGCGCACGACGCGCCCATAACGAGGCAACGCGCACAACGCGCCCATGACGAGGCAACACGCACGACGCGCCCATAACGAGGCAACGCGCACGACGTGCCAATGACGAGGCAACGCGCACGACGCGCCCATAACGAGGCAACGCGCACGACACGCCCATAACGAGGCAACGCGCCCATGACGGGTCAAACCTGGCAGTACCCTAACTGATAGGAACATATTCCATTTAGAAGCAGAAATGTAGAAATATAACAAAAATAATTCATCGAGTTGACGTAGTTTCATTCATGGACAGCTTTACCTAGAATGGTCATCGACTGCGGCTCAAACTGACTTTGTGTACCCTGAAAAAAGTTGTATGTTGTTCCCGATCCTCGACCATATTGCTGATGCTGGCGAGATGTCGACTGTAGATAGATTTATCATCCATAAATGCACATGTCTACTGTCCAGTGGAATTAGTCCCTCGCCGAGAGAGGTAAGACATGATGCTCTCGTAAAGACTGAGCTTTGCAACCAAGTGCTATTGCGTCTTCGATGGCAAAATTTATACTAACTGTGACCCCAGAATCAACTTGCTCATTCTGATGGCAAAGTACAATGCCTCAACAAAACTCGTGATACCTTACGTATTTTCCTAATCACTGCACAACTCTCACGTACAAAGTCATAAAGACTCAGTGATATATTCTCCGCATAAAGGGTGATGGATTACAGTTCACCCTAATTAATTGTAATACTTCCTATGTTAAGATAATACAGGAGAAATATTAGTGTCCAGCACCGCTGTACTCTGAATGTGTAGCTTTAGGAAAGGAGGGTTCCTGTACATTCCAGTGCATGGGCTGATAGTTCAACTTGTCTATATTACACTGATTACGGACATTACAAGCATTATCGGGGTATATATTCCATGATCCAATTTTTCACGGTACAATGATGGAAGTGATGTCCAAGCTGTGATCGACAACCATTCGTGCCGTTCGTCCGTGTCATCAGCACAGTACTTAGCCACAAATACATGCACCCTGTACCATGTGTTCCGTATGGAGAGAGCTTAATTAAGATGCGTCCAACCGCACCGCATAGAGGTACCAGAATAACATCATTTGCATTTGATCGTCTATACTTGCAACTCTGAAAGGGAACGGCGCAAAGAGGCCACGAAGGAAAAGGGTCGCGGGTTACTATGTCAAATTGTACACGGCACCTGAGGTAGTTAACGTTCCTGCATGATGTATGCTGCGGTCCTCAGAGAAAGAGATAGTGCTGTTCTGATCGGCGAGGTATATGTAATCACTGAATATAGAAGCAGGCATCATGATCTATTTTATTTTGTACGTGTAGGTGGTATGATCAAACTCTCTGCAGCAGTCTGCTACTCGGGGTAACATGCAAAAGGAAGACGAAGGCCCAAAGTTTATGTGGAGCTGGAATGGGCCTGCTGTGTCGGATGGTGTGTCTGATCGTTAATCATTGCGGCTATTCCTGCTGCGCTGAGACTGGGAGTCTGGGAGTCGGCATTGGAGTATGAGTGCAGGAAACTAAAAAGAGGTTGATGTTGTTCCACGGTTGTCATTTAAAGGCGCTGCACCTAGGACCTAAACAGCGAAAAAAAAGTAGTTGTGTATGCGAGACTCCTGTGCAAATTCAACAAGAACTATGAGAGTTTATGCGTAAATTCGTTGGATGCGACTTGCTCGTGGAGAATACTAGCAAAGCGCTGCCGAATCAACTCATTGGTGAGTAGTTGGACAAGGGCCCTTTGGTGCCCACCGCCAACAGTCAACACGTCACTGTCAACAAATACTTGTCCAGGACACTAAGCTTATTGATCGAGTCCGTACTCCATTAGTGCCTTGTCCTGCGTTGCGCCTACGCTTGCTGCACGTTCCTTTTCTTTTTTCCTGGGCGAGCGAGTGCGAGCAGGGGGCCTTGTCGTTACACCACTTTGTGAGCCTGCTGCAGTAGTAGATGATCAATGATGAGAATGAGACCCATGAAGTGATTTCCTAGTAGACGGTCCGGGAGAAGGAGGTTCGTCGGAGAAGGGAGAGTTTGGAAAGAGTTTGGAGCGCAGGAGGGCAGATTGCTCCGGGAGCTTTGATTTGAACCTCTAATGATTGGATGCACGTTTTTTCCCGAGCGGGTACCCTTTGAGGTCACATGTGATCTTATTCATGAGAACATGCGGTACTTGGCCACTTAGTCGCACGACGTTGACTGGATTGCACGCAACAGTGAGTGACAGTGAGCGATAATTTATCACCTCGTGTTGAACTAGCTAGGTCCAGGCTGTGGTGCACGAGGCCGTAGTATATTTTCAAAGTTCAAACGTACACGCCTGATGCGTATACTTCCTTTCTTGCAGCTGGGCTTCGCTGCTCAGGTGCCATTATATTTCAGTTCTATTCCACCAGCTCCTGCCCCACAAATTCCTCAGATGGCTACAGATTTTATCCTTAGCGAAGGTGCAAATGCACTCTCCCCGCAAGATATGCTCACCCTCCCTCGGCCTGGTGCGCCTCTGCCAAACGACATTGGTGATCTTGCTATCGTACCCATCAGCACTTACTCTTTTCAGGATCGCAAGTATGCTCATCTTTCTTTTATTTGTTCTTATAGTCGTAATATTAATGTTCACTACCTGGCCCTTAGGTCCCACAAGTCACTCTCCGTCATCGCTCTTGGCGATGGCGATGCCTGCGATATTCCTTTGCCCGATGGCGGCGATGCCTTCTGGCTTGATTCTCGCACCATCGCACACGTCGTGACAAAAGATGACACACAGAGCCTCTACACCATCCCCATCAGTACTTCTCCTCTCTCCTCCGATCTCTCCTCCCATGTAGGATCCTTTCCCATCACCACTGCAAGCGCGTTCCGTTACAGCCCCAGCGCTCAGCGCCTCGTGTTCTCTGCATACGTTTATCCTGATGGCCTTGTCGAGACCGTAAAGGAGCAGGACACAGCATATGAGAATCGGGGTAACTCTGGTCTGGTGTATGATGAGACGTTTGAGCGTCAATGGGATACGTGGGTTGGTCCCAAGAGCAAGGCTCTCATTGGGGTCAGTTTGACAAAAGTAGGTGCGGAGTGGGTACTGGGGGAAACCTATGTGAACGTGCTCAAGGGGACGGGACTCGTGAGTACTTGTTTCTACTTTCCGGGATGGCGGTGAAACTGATTTGAACTAGTCTTCCCCTGTAGAACCGTTCGGTGAGGCGGATGACTATGACATATCCCAAACGCATGTCATCTTTACTGCCAAGGACCCACAACTCCCCAAGGCCGTGCACACCAGGCAGAATGTTCGTGCACTTCGTGTCTTGCTCTTTCTATGCTAACATACTGCCGCGTAGATCTACCTCGTTGCACATGATGGAAAAGACCTCAGACAACTCACCTCGGGCATCCAAGGTGCGACGCACTCTCCCGTGTTCAGCCCTTCTGGTGATAAAGTCGCCTGGCTGGAATTGGCTCTTGATGGGCACGAGAGTGATCGGTGGGTTATGTGACCTATTCATATACCATTTTGACCTTATTTCAATGCATGCACCTCTCACTCGCCCATATCACTTCCCACGTTGTCAACTCACGTGTACAGCGCGAAAGTGGTGATCTACGATCTCAAGAAAGACGTCCGGTTCACCATTACGGAGGACTGGGACCGCTCCCCTGATTCTATCATTGTGAGTTCATGCTTATTCAATCGCCCTTACTTCCTTCATTCCTATCTTCTAAATTGCGATACTTGTCATCTCCTTATGGGTTTACTCATCCCTCCCATACATCTGTCGTCATACCAGCCAGCTAACCCGAACCCAGTTCTCCCCTTCCTCTGCTCTCATTTACGCCACCACCGGCGATCATGCCCGCATCAAGATCTTTGCGCTGGCTGTCCCGCTTACACCTCCCTCCAACGCCACACAGACCACTCAACCTACAGCCCTCACCTCCAGCGGTTCTATATCAGGCTTCACGCCAATCCCAGGTGGCAGGGCCACCTTTGCGCTTTCGAGTCTGACGTCTCCAAACGAGGTGTATGAGCTTAGCGGGCTTGACGTCGTTGAGCGAGATCTCTTAGCAGGAACAAACGCGGATGTGAGAGCGACAACGCTTACGCGCATTACTTCGTTCTCTTCTACCGGGCTACAAGGCAAAGATCTCTCTCCTGGCAAGGATTTTTGGTTCAAAGGTACGGCTGAGGGACAGGACACACACGGTTATGTGATTACCCCGCCTGGATTCGAACGTGGCGTTAATGGGAAGTGGCCTGCGGTGATGCTTATCCATGGAGGCCCGGAGAGCGCTTGGTTTGATCAGTGGTCGACGCGATGGAATCCTAATGGTACACAATTTCCTTTTGCTGGGTTACAAAGGTTGGGCTGATTTGGGGCTACGTGCGCTCTAGTCTTCGCGAGCCAGGGATATGTGGTCGTTGCTATCAATCCAACGGGATCCACTTCATTTGGACAGAGTGAGTTACCCTCTTCTCTTGTTTGTTCTTGTGCTGAACGCAATATGTTAGAATTCACAGATGGGATCAATCAAAACTGGGGAGGCCGGCCCATCCAAGACCTGTTGCTAGGGTGGAAGTATATCCTTCAAGAATACCCAGAGGTGCGGTCTTACACCTTGTGTTCCTCCCACTCGACACATCCTGACCTCGATCTTTGCACATAGATAGACCAAAACCGCACAGCAGCTGCTGGTGCTAGTTATGGCGGATATGCAATCAAGTGCGTGTCATCTCCTTTTCGCCCTTGATATCTTGTGTCCTAATTCTCGCTCCTTGCAGCTGGATCCAAGGCAATCCCGAGCTCGGATTTGGGTTCAAGGCATTGGTCTGCCACGACGGTGTGCGTTTTCCCTCGTTGCATGAAGGAGCTAATGAAGACACTGATCCATTTACTTAAAATAGGTATTCGACACAACCTATAACGGCTATGCCACAGACGAACTATTCTTCGTGCGTCTCCCATCCTTCCCTTACAACACTAAACACTAACACACTACAGTTCAATCACGAATGGGGAGGACGTCCATGGGATCCTGCCGCATTCGAAGCCTCGCGCAAATACAGCCCCGCGTATACCGTTGCCAAGTGGTCGACCCCGCAGCTGACAATTCATAGCAGCAAGGATTACAGGCTTCCAGAGGGAGATGGGATTGCGGTGTTTCATGCGTTGCAGCAGTGCGTTTTTCTTTTCTTTTTCGTTCTGGTTCTTCGTATATCGTTCTCTTGCACCTATCGTTTCTTTTCAATCAGCTGTTCCTCTTTTTTTTCCTTTTATCTTGGCTCCTAGCAGGTGATCCATACTAATCGACACGCATATAGGTTGGGCGTCCCAAGCCGCCTTTTGATTTTCCCAGACGAGAACCATTGGGTGATCAACGCTGGGAATAGGTATGTATGCAGTTCTACACGCCGGTCATGAACTAATGCTTTGACTGGAATAGTTTGAAATGGCACTACGAAGTGTTTAGGTGGTTGGATCAGTTCATCGGGCTTTCTTAGACACGAACGCGTCACTAGGAGAGGATCTCTTTTTGAAAATGGTAGAACTAAAGGATACGTTTTTGAGGGGCAAATCGGCCGTTTGTAACATGACACACTTGACTGTACTTGAATGGGTAGAACTTCTACGATTTATGATTTGCGCGCTGAATCAAGACCAGGCCTGTGTGATATGTACACAAACCAAGGGTATCTTCAGCATACTGGAAATTCATCGCAGTTGGAATGTGTCTGGAGTCTGGGCTCAACCCAATAATAGTACAGTCAATGAAGTTACAATGAGTTCAGCTCGACAACATTGTCGGATGTCTCTCCAACGTTCCCTCCTAATTGACTTTGCGAGGTACAAGGTATAGTTAGTAAATAAACGAGAAACGGTTCACGGGTGATCAGTATACATGAAACAGTAAAAAGTACACTCGACTAGTACAAGGTCGCCACAAGCCAAACCAAGAGGTGCAAACGCGAAGCACTGACATATACACTAGATCGCTAACTTAACCAAAGTAAGATCAAGAAGGGCGCAAAACGCCCAGCTTTCGATCACGTTCCACTTACCCGGGGGTTGACCTTCCTAGGAAGTCCTCGAAATCTTCATCCGTTTTACCAAGCCCTGGTCAACGTGCGCCGCCTTGCGCCTGCCCCCTGGTTCGTAGACCTCAATCGACGTATATTTCGCTCGTCAATGCACGCTCGGTCTCGCTATCCGGCCAATTGTTCAAATCGAAGTAGGAGGGCGAGCACTCGAGGAGCCTGTCAGAGAATCAATACGCAAATATGTATCAGTATGCGCATATAAGACACACGTACCACTCTGGTCGGACACCCGTGACGGTCCGTATATACGGTCTGTTTGTGAGCACAAACTCGTTGAAAATCACCCACTCCGGTTGTGTATCCAGTCTACACGATGGATGCAGCACCGCGGGCTACCACCAAGAAAATTTCCATCAGCACGCCAACCACAACTCAAAGCCAAAATAATGCGCCTGATTGTCCTTGAATGTCATATAATGCCCTATTTTTCCCACTTTGTATGCGGCTTGCATAAAAAAGCCACAGCACAGCGCCTGCCCAATCGCCGTCGACTGCTTCTGATCTTGCACGCTCACAAGCTCTAGCTCAAACCGCTCCATTGTCCGTTTCAGTTGCTCGCGCACGTTTTCTGCTTGTATCAGCGCTTGAGCAGAAAGGTAGTTTGTCCATGTCCACGCTTTATCGTGTTGGTCTGGGTTAGGTGTGAGCGTGTATGCATATGCAAGAAGAGGCCGAGGGAAAGTCACTTTGAATATAGTTGTTGTACACATTCAGAAGCATTAGGTGGTCCCCACCGGGGACGGTAAGCAGCACCTTTGCAGCATCCGCCTCTTCTCGCTTGTTACTTGGCCGTAGCCATACATTTGGCACTACAAGAACGTCAGATGAGAGCAAACCTCCAATATGGGTGTTGCACCTGACAACATTGCAGTGATCGACAATATCTCGTTGCTACATTTAAACTCTGGGCTGACGATCAGCATCTTTGAGAGCTGGGAACATGCATCAGAACCGTCAGGTTCAAACGCGCCACCAGGACAATAGCCTACCTGGGGATCTAGAGGAAATTCAGCCATGATACTCCCAAGTGCCGTGAGGTTCCCGTCATCATCCAATGCTGAGAGGTAATTCAATAGCTCCAGCGCCCTCAACAATGACTCTGGTGCTGGGGCATCAATAATCAAATTTGACAAGATCCTATACAAGCATCAACTCAACTCCAAAAACATCACTTCCCACCACATCAAACTCACCTTAATCCCTGCCTTGACAAGCACCAGTACCGTGTTCGCTAAATTACTCTTCAGAATTTCAGGATGTGTGTGCTCCTCGAGCTCCGACTTGAAGTCATTCTCCGTGTACAACCTAAAGCATTTGCCCGGCCTCGTTCGCCCGGCACGGCCCGCACGTTGCTGTGCAGACTCCTTGGAGATTGGGCTCACAAGTAAGCTCTCCACGCGGGTACGCGGGTTGTATACTTTCTGCTTCGAAAACCCCGGGTCCACGACGTACACAATCCCGTCGATCGTCAGCGACGACTCTGCAATATTCGTGCTCACGACGACCTTGCGTCCTGGTGGGCCATCCGGACTACTTGCTGTGGGTGGCGGGTCGAAGATGCGCTGCTGCTGTTGAGGCGGTAGCCGGGAGTACAACGGAATCTTGAGACACGCGTCTTCTATCTCCTCCTCACCCGTCAGGAACAACAAGATGTCTCCCGGTTTCTCGGTGTAATGGACCATGAGCACCGTGCGGATGGCAGCCTCGAGATAGTACGGCTCCGGCACCTGGGTATAGAACACTTCAACAGGGTATGCACGGCCGGGGACCCTAAAGAGTGGCGCGAGGGTGCTACTAGAGATAGCGAAGTACCTCTGGAACTTGAGAGCGTCCAGAGTGGCGGACATGACGATGAGCTTGAGGTCTGAACGTCGTTGGGCAAGAGTTTTGAGCATGCTCATGAGGATGTCGGTAGCGAGGGTGCGTTCATGGGCATCGTCGAGGATGATGGTGGAGTAGCAGGTAAGATCAGGGTCATTCATGGCTTCGCGGAGGAGCATTCCGTCAGTCATGTATTTGAGGAAGGTGGTGCCGGGCTCAGTCATGTCTTCGAAACGTATCGAGTAACCGACTTGGTGGCCGAGTTGGACTAGGTGATCCAGTGAGCTCGGAGTGACATCACAGCAGTTAGACAAACGGACCGTCCATCTCGTCTGCCACGCGTTCCGCTACAGCTGTGGTGGCAACTCTGCGGGTCTGAGTGCATGCCACAATCTTGTTCTTGGTGTGCGGAAGATCTGAGTAGGCGACGAACTGGGGTATTCTATCGGTGACAAAATGAGTCTATGATAAGTGACTGTCCAAAGAAGACACAGGAGCATGTGCCATGGGGTGACAACTCACTGTGTGGTCTTGCCTGAGCCGGTCTCGCCGACCATGATGATGATTTGGTGTTTGTTGAACTGCGTATGTCAGGGTGAATGGAGTGATGGATGCATAAAACTAACCATCTTATAGAACTCGGCCATATGTGCAAACACGGGGAGCTTTTTGCGGGATTCAAGGATCTTTTTGTATTGTGCACTACGGGGCTGATTTGTGAACGGGTTTATGTCGTGTTCCTAAGTGATTTACCAAGTCAGCCAGACCCAACATAGCCCTGCTATTGAGGACATGCCAATGCAAGGTGCACTTGATCTGCGGTTACTTCTCGGGGGACATAACCGAAGTTCCTCGAGGCACCTGCACCATCGAGAGTGCTTGAATTAGTTTTCCCTTGATCATCATGTGGGTCCTCTTTAGTCTTCTGACGCAGGGCAGAGATTTTGTCGTCCGTACTTCTGGTACTTTCAAAGGATCTTAGGATTACAATCAAAGTCATAGTCATTTACGGACCCTTCACCGTCTTATGAAGCGCCACAGTTTCTTAATCAGTTCTGTCATACTAAGAGGTCAATGGGCACTGTGATACTTTGAGAGACAAGTGAGGGGCCAGTGCAATGTGATGATGTAAACTTTTATCCAGCCTCGTCTGGCTCTAGAGTCAATGACACAATCTATGAGGTTGGGCTGGACCGAGTGTTAGCTCGGGGTGGGACGCAAGCAGGGGGGGCTGCTGGGAGGGCGGGAACCTGCTTACGAGTTCGGTTGTGTGCTGACTCATCATGGTGCAACGTTGAACACTTATCGATGCATCGTCAGACCTTGAATTTTCTCGGCTTTCATCCGACACCACACCGGTACAACATCCTAAAAATGAGCAAAAATCAGATCTATATAGAGGCGGCACGAATCTACAATCCTCTAAATTCGTGGAAGATCATATGAAGTAGTTGACGAGTTACAAAAGATTTGCTGAAAAAGTTGCAGAGTACCCGGAAATTGAATGATAGTAAGTACTTCTCCTACTTAGTAGATGTTGATCGAGGTTCGTTGCTTGCTTGCTTGACCAGACTATGATATACCTTTTGCTATAGCTAAGTTATAGGAATCGTTAATGGATGACTCGGTTTGTACAAAAGAACGTCGCGAAAGTTAATAGACCTGAGCCCAGCTTCAATTTCACAAGCAAAGGTGTATTTGGGTGACAGTACGGTACTGCCCAGAGAAACCTGGAGTCTTCATATACTAAGTATTCACCCACATATGCACCATGTCTATCCACCTGATGCATGATGTCCTGTTTCTTCGGAAGGCTTTCCCTAGCTTTTCGCGTTACACTTACCCCGTAGTTTCGAGCCTCTGAGGCTCGAGTAAACTACTCAACTCCCTTACCAGGTCCTCGATCTCATCATTTCCTCAATCTCCTCACCACTTTCACCAATGCGCGCCACCTTGTCGAATCGCGCCCCAAACCTGCCCGTCATCTTGGTCGCAACCCTCACCAACGCACGCTTCGTCTCGCTGTCTGGCCAATCCTTCAAATCAAAGTACAAGCGCGCGTACTCGAGGAGCCTGTCCGAGTCGGAGCGTCAATGTACAAATTTGCATCAGCATGTCAATCTACAGTGCTAAGAAGCGTACGTACCATCCTGGTTGGCCACCTGTGACCGTCCGTATATACGGTCTGTTCGTGACCACGAACTCGTTGAAAATCACCCACTCCGGCTGTGTATCCAGTCTGCACGATGGATGCAGCACTACGGGCTACCACCAAGAACATTTTCATCAGCACGTCAACCACAACTCAAAGCCAAGATAATATACCTGATTGTTCACGGTCATGTAATTCCTCTTCCCTCCCACCTTGTGTGCAACTTGCATGAAAAAGCCACAGCACAACGCCTGCTTGATTGCCAGAGACATCCCGATCTGATCTTGCACGCTCACGATGTCCACCTCAAACCGCCCCATCGTCCGTTCCAGCTGCTCGCGCACGCTGACTGCTTGTAGCAGCGCTGGAGCGGAGAGGTAGTGGTTATATGTCCAGTCTTTGTCGTGTTGGTCTGGGGTGGTTGGTTGCGAGTGAGTACGTAGGTGTTTGTAGGAAGTGGAAACTTACTTCGAATGTACTCGTTGTACACGTTAAGAAGCATTAGGTGGTCGCCACCGGGGACGGTAAGCATCGCCTTTGCAGCATCTGCCTCTTCTCGTTTGTTACTTGGCCGTAGCCATACATTTGGCACTACAAGAACGTCAGATGAGAGCAAACTTCCAAGATGAGTGCGCACCTGACAGCATCGAAGTGATCGTCAATATCTCATTGCTACACTTAAACTCTGGGCTGATGATCAGCATCTTTGAGAGCTGGAAGCATGCATCAGAACCGTCAGGCCCAAACGCGCCACCAGGACAGTCGCCTACCTGTGGATCCAGAGGGAATTCAGCCATGATACTCCCGAGCGCCGTGAGGTTTCCATCATCATCCACTGCTGCGAGATAATTCAATACCTCCAACGCCCTCGACAATGACTCTGGTGCTGGCTCATCCAAATAATCGAATTTGTCAAGATCCTACACAAGCATCAGCTCAACTCAAAAAACATCACCCCCACATTGAACTCACCTTGATCCCCGCCTTGACAAGCATCAGCACCGTGCTCACTAAATTACTCCTCAAAATTTCTGGTTCCGTCTGCTCCTCGAGCTCCGACATGTCATTCTCCGTGTACAACCTGAAGCATTTGCCCGGCCTCGTTCGTCCGGCACGGCCCGCACGCTGCTGTGCCGACTCCTTGGAGATCAGACTCACAAGTAAGCTCTCCACACGGGTGCTCGGGTTGTACACCTTCTGCTTCGAAAAACCAGGGTCCACGACGTACACAATCCCATCGATCGTCAGCGACGACTCTGCAATATTCGTGCTCACGACGACCTTGCGCCCTGGTGGACCACCCGGACTACCTGCTGTGGGTGGTGGGTCGAAGATGCGCTGCTGTTGTTGAGGCGGTAACCAGGAGTACAACGGGATGCACTCGAGAGGGCCTACGGTCCCAGGGTAGTGGTCGATGAGGGTTTTCACCTCGCGCTTGATGCTATGGCAGGCATCTTCTATCTCCTCTTCACCCGTCAGGAATACCAAGATATCTCCTGGTTTCTCTTTGCGATGGATCTTGAGCACAAGACGGATGGCAGCCTTGACGTAGTCTGACACCGGCTCCTCGGTGTAGGACACTTCAACGGGGTGAGTACGACCGGGAACCTTGAAGAGCGGAGGAAGGGCATCGCTGGAGACAGCAAAGTACTTCTGGAACTTGAGAGCATCCAGGGTGGCGGACATGATGATGAGCTTGAGGTCCGGGCGACGGCGAGCGAGGGTTTTGAGAACCCCCATGAGGATGTCAGTGGCAAGTGTGCGTTCGTGAGCGTCATCGACGATGATTGTGGAGTAGCGGCTGAGATCCGGGTCGTGCATGGCTTCGCGGAGGAGTATGCCATCGGTCATGTATTTGAGGAAGGTGGTACCGGGCTCGGTCATGTCTTCGAAACGTATCGAGTAACCGACTTGTTGACCGAGTTGGACTAGGTAATGAAAGTGAGCTCGGAGTGAGATCAGAGTAGTGTCACAAACGAACCGTCCATCTCATCTGCCACGCGTTCCGCTACAGCTGTGGTAGCGACTCTGCGGGTCTGAGTGCACGCCACAATCTTGTGCTTGGTGTGCGGAAGATCTGAATAGGCGACGAACTGGGGTATTCTATCAGCGACAAAAAGAGTCTATGATAAGTGACTGTCCAAGAAGACAAAGGAGCATGTGCCAGGTGGTGACAACTTACTGCGTAGTCTTGCCTGAGCCAGTCTCGCCGACCATGATGATAATTTGGTGTTTGTTGAACTGCGTACGTCAGGGTGAATGGAGTGAGGTATGCATAAAACTAACTATCTTATAGAACTCAGCCATATGTGCAAACACGGGAAGCGTTTTGCGGGATTCAAGGATCTTTTTGTATTGCGCAGTATGTGGCTGATTCGTGAACGGGTTTATGTCGTGTTCCTAAGCGAATCCACGAGTCAGCCAGACGCGACGTAGCTCTGCTGTTGAAAACATACCAATGCAAGGTGCACTTGATCTGCGGTGACTTCTCTGGGAAGATAACCGAAGTCCTTCGAGGCGCTGGCACCATCGAGAGTGCCTGAAGCAGCTCGTTCTCGATCGGCGGCAACCTCTCGCAGAACGACGTTATACAGAGGCTCTCTAGCTCTAGGGATTTCATCCGTACTCCCGGTCCTTCAAAAGACCTCAGGATTACAGTCAAAATCGTTTATGAATCTTTTACCATCCCGGTATGAAATCCCATAGTTTCTTGATCAGTTCTGTCATAAGATATCGGTCTTGTTATAGGCACTGTGAGACGAGTAAGGGACCAGTACAATGTGATGATGGAAACGTTTATCTGATTCAAGGATTTGTGGGCATTTATGCATTGGTATCTTGTAAGCGCTTTAGATTGGTGTCATCATAATCATACAAAACGAGGCATGAACTCGCACGAGTATTGTAGATAGCGATATATAATGTCATATATAGAGATTCCGCAGCTAAAAGAACAAAGGGTGTGTTGCAAAGAATGAGAAGCATTGATAAGTCACGTGGATATCACAAACGTAAGTAAGACACCAGGGGCTTTCACCCGCGCGCATTCTTTGCAGGAGGTTTCTTCCCACTACCCGTTATTACGGCGGTCGTGTTTGAAATCAGCTTCCTCTTTTTCGCCGGCGCCTGCGACACGGCTTTCATACTGCTCGTAGCTGCGATGCGCTTAGTACCGTAAACTTCGCGGCGATTTTCCTAGCGGGCGCGGGCATCAGCATGCTGAACCGAATGTTCATGAAAGAGGAATGTACCTCAGCGCCCAGCGTGAGCTCGTCTTCTTCCTCTTCTGAAGAATCAACTTCGTCTTCAGCAGTCGCATCACTACCTGACTTGGACTGCTCTGATATCTTATCTTCTCCATCCTTGTCTTCATCGATCTCAATATACTGTCGTTTAGTGCTTATTTTTCGGGCGGGACGGGACGAGGAGGAGGGTATGCTGGTAGCGGGATTGGATGGTGGTTTATTACCGGTCCCGGAGAATATGGGTTTACTAGGTCTTGCTGCAGATTTCGAAGGTGGTGGTGCGGATTTGGTGGATGCAGCCGATGTAGGTTTGTTGTTCAGTGACGCGGATTTGCTGGTGATTGAAACAACTTTGTTGGTACCCTGTCCAGCTTTACTAGGGGCGCTGGTGGGTTTACTGGGTTTCGGTATGGTTTTGCTCGAGATGGCTGAATTTAGTTTACTAGACCCTGGTACTGCGAATGCTGAACCCGAGCTTGATGATGATGCAGAAGAACTTGATGCAGACGGTGCTTCATCAGAAATAGTGTTCTCCATGCTCTCCTCTTTTACGGGTACCTCGATGACAGCCTGAACGCGTCGGATGAGGTATTGTTTTGACTTGTCTCCAGAGGCTCTGCGGTTGGCGGAAATGGGAGTGGGGAGCTGTTGTGTAGATATGGGTTTGGGTGCCCTGGATGACGATGCAGATATGGATTCGTCAGGAAGTTCGGAAGTATAGGGAGGGAAACGGTGGCGTGCGGATGCGGATGGGTCGCTAAGGCTTGTGTTTGCGGTTGTGTTTGGGTAACGGAGCATTGTCGTGAATGGAGTGATAGACGCATGTGTTTGGACAGTATGCTGTTGTGTAAACGTTAGATTCAAGGTTCAAGAAATGAGAGAGTAGACCGCACAGAAAGCTGCTCTTCAATAAGCTCATCCACACGCATTGCGAGCTTATAGCGCTCCTGCTCAACGCGTAGAAACTGTTCTTTCCAGCTGGTGGCTTCCTGACGCGACGTGTCCTCGAGACGGAGACATTGTTGTTTCCACTGCTCAGACTCGTAGCGAAGTTGAGCGATCGTCTCGGCATGGTGTTTTATCTGCACGCAAATTTCAGTATCTCTACGCTATCAAATCGATGGGCGTACAGTTAGCTCGGCTTGCTCAACCTTGTCAGGGGGCAAGGTTAGATATGATGAATGTGCAAACATCGAGTGGGGACATACAACAGACTGTCGGACACCAGCCTCTTGCTTCCACGCCTGCTCCTCGAGTCTAAGCTCATGGAGAGCCTTAATGGCTTCATCCCGTTCGCGACGCGCTTCTCGTGCTTCAGCAGACGCTTGTGTGACTTCTTGACGTGTTTGATCCTGTATGTTCGTGAACTACACAGGTCAATGAATCTCGAGGAGCATCAAAGAAGATGATGAACCTACTGCAATGTTTACTGCTTTATTCAGAGACGCGAGTGCATCCGTAAGTATGACGGACGGCGGGGAGTTTGTTGACATCTGGTTGCAAATCTGGTGAGAGCAAGACACGCCTTTGGCCGATTCAATTAATTTGAAACTTAACACGTGCCACAGCGCACCTCTCTAATACTTGAAGAAATTCAAAAGCCAGCCGGTTTTCAACTCCACTTCAACTATTTATGCCTTGTAATGCCACGCAGAGACTGCAACCTGTTGTCTTTGTGTTTCCCGCAGGTGGTGTCAATCGTGTCTCCAAGTCTTATCGAATTCCATCAGAACTCTCATTTTGCCGTGCGACGACATGCTTGTTACTATGTAGCCTACTCAGCAGCACTTCCTCCCAAGGACCCATCTTTGTATACACCGTAACGCATCGCCTCTTAATTAGTTCACTTGCATTCACGTCCCCTTTTCCTGGTCCTTTTTACTTCATTTCCTGCTGGATGCCCCCAGGTGCCTTGGTTACTCCATTTTCAGCGGAGCATGACCAGTCGAGGTGGAATATGTAGCCGTTTGAAGGTTATGTTAAAAGCACCACGAGGAGAGGTCGGAAGTTGGAACAAGCCGTCACCCAAAACGTCCGGTGGCATTCCTCGAACGCTGCATAGATTCTTAGCCGGGTATGTGCACAATGTTACTTGTGTTTATTTTTACACGGGGATATATTCCTGCGGTAGACAACATGCATGGCACTCAGTGACTAACTAGGTCGCCGTACACATTGACTACCATACTAATCATGATATAATGTTTTAGTTCTGCTTCAAGATGTATCATGGTCATGCTTATCTGAGTACCACTAAAAATCAAGGTCGCCAGTCTTTGGTCACACGGAGCATATTAGTTAACCATTCATTAGGAGGAAAGACTCCCTCAGGTTTTTCTCGGGGAGACTAGTTGACCTGAATTTGCCCCTCAGTGACTACTGGCTTCGAATTCAGTGCGCGCACCCTTAACTATCGTGAGGGTGGTCTATACTGATTTGGGAGTCCCGACATGGAAATATCATCAGTAGGGACTTCTTTCATCATCGTCCGCTGTTCATTGAACTTTGTCTTGCAGTTTTTAGACGACCATTCCCTACAGGAAGTGTCCTTCCTTTTCGAGAGTTTGGTCATCTCGACATTCGCTGTTGATCTGTCTCTTGGCCATGTCTTGGTTCCATTTTCGCTGCACCAACCAGTCTTGCGCATGCCTACCGTAGCGCTGAGGGGAATGAGAATACTACATATGGCCATGTACGCTGCTTTCAGCGGTATGTATTTGATGTCTTGGTAATCAAGGAAGGTCAACCATCGGTGACCTGCTGCCGACAACTTGCCCATGTGCTTCGAGTGGAGCTCGCTCTGACGTCTAACCCTTCTCCTCGACGTATAAAAGCGAGTGGAAATTCTTGAAATTCTGCATCTCAAATTACTGCACGACATTCTCATCAAACTCTAACACACGATGAAATTCACACTTGCTACTGCTCTTATCTCTGCCCTTGCCCTCCAAGCGTTTGCAGCGCCCGCGAACGTCACATACGACACTGCGTACACCAATCCCAACTCGTCCCTGGCCAATGTCGCTTGTTCTAACGGCGCGAACGGTCTCTTGACCAAGGGATATACCACCTTCGGCTCCATCCCTTCATTCCCCAACATCGGAGGAGTTCCAGGCGCCACCTGGAACTCCACGTTGTGCGGCACCTGCTGGAGCCTCCAATACACCACGCCCAGCGGCGTCCAAACCACCATCAACATCACCGCCGTCGATGCTGCTTACACATTCAACATCTCCCCGCAGGCGTTCAATAAGTTGAATAATGGCACTGGCTTAGAGCCCGGCAAGATTGCGGCTAACGTCACTCAGGTCGCCGCGATCAACTGTGGCATGTAGTGGCATGTATGTTCATCTTTGACGTTCTGCGAGACTCAAGTTCTGATTTAACGTGAGTCTAGGCCATTATGTTGGAGAGTTTTCTGGTGTGCTGGAAACGGTTGAAAGTATCGCAGAAAGAGGTTCTCGAGTCTTTGGTTCGTGGGCGGGGCAACTTGTATGTTGTAGCTTGTACATTGTTGCTTGTACGTTGTGGTTCGTTATTCTGAAGTATGTGCGATGCGATGTTTTTTGGGAAAGTATTAGTTACTCGACGAGCAGCTCGGTGTGTTATAGAAGACCAGAAGGCAGTAAGTTCCCTAGCTATGACTTATGATGGTTCGAACTCCAATGCATTTAGCTTGATAGTGGCAGCCACTAGTACTACGAGATACTTCTCCATGCATCAGCAAACTATTAATTTAGTGACAATTCCCACATGATTGACAAATCCACACAAATCCACACAAGGCCATACACACATCACAGATGACACAAGCAAATAACCAAAAATTGGGAACAAACTTGACAAGCGCACAAGTAGCACAGACACACAGACATACAAACTGTACAAATGGTAAGACTTATGTACGAAAATACAAACATGGTCTTTATCAACATTTATGAAGTATTGACATGCAAAGACAAAAAAGGTCCCAAATTTTTACAACACTATTAAGCTGTGATCAAGAGTGTCAGTGTGCATGCACAAGAACACCACAAACTGGAAGCTTACTACCGATTATGTTTGAATGAATGTTGCGACACCATCTTTTCTCTGCTCTAGATGCAAGTGCCCAACATTGGGATCAGCTAATAATAAGTGTGTATTCGTGGCCTCTGCATGACGACAGCAGAGATGTGTAAGTATCTGATGGTGTTCCAAAATACAATCCGCCAGGTGCTTTTGAGCCTGGCAAACTTTATGTTTAGCTTGAGCTGCTTTGAGTGTGAGGTCAGAATGATCATCTTCCTCTGCTTGGTTGAGTGATGTGGAGTCTCATTCCTGCCAGTACCAAAAGCATATAAGAATGTTGAAGCATTGAAGTGATTAGCGGATAACAACTCACAAAGTGCATCAATATGGGGAAGCTATCTTCCTCTTTGACGAGCTGTGATTGTCACAGAAAAGATGAACTTTGTGAACTTTGTTTGGATTGAGGATACAGAGAGACTTCCTCATGACGACAGGAGGATGGAAAATGAGGAGAAAGTTTAGAATTGAAAGAGGAACTTTGAGAAGAAACTGAAGAACTGTAGTACAGTAGGAGGCCTGGAGACGGTGCAAAAAGGCCATATAGTTAATATTGGAGGTTTGCATTGTGAGCACTGTGGTGACAATATGGACAATATTTAGTAAGTATGATGATGTGACACCAATGTGATATGTCGGAGTGAAGCACAGTGATGCATGAGACTTATTAGTCTGTGCATCGGTCAACATTAGTTTCACTTATGTCAGTGCCAATATGTCCAAAATGTGGCAAAGTATTCACCAAGGAATCTAGTGTCACAGTTCTACTCGCGATATGGTTGATATCTTGCAGTTTGCTGAGTTGGATCCCTCACAGCGATCTCAAGATCAACCTCAACCAATGTTGGGCTTGGACATCTCACAATTTAATACTAAGGATGAGATGATGAATGTTGACTTTGATGGAGCCCATTTCCAGGATGAGGGAGAGTTATCAGAGGTGAAGATGTATGAGGGTGCAGGAACTTGTTATGCTTGGGATGGTGTGACCTTTCTGGATCTTTTTGATGCTGATGAGTATGCAGAACACAGGAAAGAAAACCTCTTCTACCCTTTTGCATCAAGGGAAGAGTGGGAAGTCGCTGATTTTCTCCTACATTCTCCCCTCAGTATGGCAGCAATTGACCAGTTTCTGGGACTCCCTATGGTGCATGTTCTTTTCACAAGTGCTGATGTTTTCTGACATTATTTGCAGATCCATCGGTTGAAATTGTCATTCTGCAATGCTAAAGAATTGTGAAGCCGTGCTGAGATGCTGCCAAAGGGACCAAACTGGAAGTGTCAAACCATCCCTTCGCTCAATCCCACAAAAAGTCCAATCCAATTGTTTTGGAGGGATCCTGTGGAATTTTTGGAAAGTCTCTTCAGTAACCCCCTTTTTTATGACCAGCTTGATTTTGTCCCTCACCGCGTTTACACGACATCAGTGCGGCTTCTTTGTGTATACTCAGAGTGGTTGACAAGTGCAGGTATGTACAGATTTGTGTCAATATTCACGTTGTCTCATCATAAGAACTACAAGACCAGCTCTCCAGAGGTGCAACAGTCCTGGGCACTGTGCTTTCTTCGGACAAAACAAATATTACCAATATGACTGGTGCCAGAGTTGCTCATCCACTCCTTTTGGGCCTTGTTAACATTCGCATGAGCACTTGCACCAAGCTCTCATCCAGGGCTTTTCTGCTCACGGCTCTCCTCCATATCCCAGAGTACTTGTATCCCAATCAATGGATGTGGGGCATGCTAGAAGATCGCCTTATGCACGAGTGTCTTTCCATAGTTCTGAAGCCCCTTATGATAGCTGCTGAAATTGGAATCATGATGTCTAACCCAGTGGGAAATGTGCGCCACTGTTTTATGCCTCTTGCACTGTATATTGTCAATACCCCAGAGGCATGTATGCTTGCATGTGTGCGCAGGAAAACTTCGCTGTTTACCTTGGCATCGTATCTGGAGTTTGGGGACAACTTTCATCACCCTGAGTGCACATGCTCTATCACCCTGGAGCAGCTCGATAGTATAACAGTCAATCCTAATAACCTTGAAGCTTACTTCCAAGCATGCAAGGAATACCAACTAAATGGTGTACACTCTCCTTTCTGGAAGGACTGGCCACTTGCTGATCCATCAGTCTTTTTAACTCCTGAACCTTTGCATCACTGGCACAAGGAGTTTTATGATCACGACCTCCAGTGGTGCCTTATAGTTGTTGGAGCATAGGAATTGGACTTTCGCATATCAATATTGCAGCCTACTGTAGGCTATCACCACTTTCATGGTGGAATTTCGAAATTGAAGCAAGTTACGGGCAGGGTGCACCGAGATATTCAGCATTACATTATCAGCCTGATCGCTGCTGCAGCCCCTTGTCAATTTGTGGTCACAATCTGTGCTCTTATGGACGTCCAGTACATGGCGCAGTTTTTTTTGCCTGATGAGAACTTGCTAGCGTGTATTGACAGATCACTCTCTATCTTTCATGAAAATAAAGACATTATCCTCTCCCTAGGCGCTTGGATGGACATGAAGAAGCCTATTGACAACTGGTTCATACCCAAGCTTGAACTTATGCAGAGCATTACTGCCAGCTCACGCAAAGTTGGTGCCCTCATCTAATGGTCCACAGACACCACTGGGCATGCCCACATATCTGAAACCAAGGACCCTGCATGGCACACCAATAACAACGATTATGATCCTCAAATCTGTCATCATTTAGATCAGCAGGAGAAGCTGCAACATTTTGCGATTGCTACAGCACTGAAGAGTTCTTGCGCTCATTCCAACTTGGAAAAACTCCTTGAGGATGAGGTGGACAAAGAAGACAATGAAGATTGTGATAAACTGATAGATCTGCAAACTGCGCTCTTGAAAGAGCTAAATCAAATGCGCATCACTACCAACTACTTTAGCAAAGCAAGGCAATTGGTTGCCATGAGGCGTGATAATATTCCTCACCCTCCCCAAACATTCATTGCTGCCTCCACCGCTATCCATCTTAATTTTTTCCCTACTTGTACTGGGCTGAAAATTGATGAGGGTTGCTGATGATTTTAACATACCAAATTTATGCCAGGTTCTTTCCAACTTCTTGCAATGTGACACGAGGAATGGAGAAGCAGGTCATGGATTGGGGGTTCTAAGAAGATCACTAATTGACCGTCCCTCAATTCTTCCTTTTGAATGTATTCAAGTATGGCATGTCGTTCATTTGCAGCAAGTGTCTTTCCACAATGCCAGTGTTGTTCTGCCTGCACAGACTGTGCATGCCTCCCCTGTCTCCTATCAGTGGGTAGCCAAAAGGCCAATGGGATGTTGTCCTCGTCAATGTTGATTGAGCCTATGATTGGCCCAAGTCGGAGTTGATGGGTGAGTTCGTTTGTGTTGATATTAATCTTGCTTATTGTGACCCTCCATTTTTGAAGGGCACCGAGTTTGCAAATTGCAGCTAATAATGCACCCAATTCCCCAGTGACGTTCACACATTACATGGCATGATCAATATTTGTGTTATGTACATAATTTCAAAATAGGTGCAATTGACCCGGTCACTGAGATGCATGTATTGAAACACACTAAACATGCCAATGGTGCCCCAGTAGGTGATATAGTGCCCCTTAGCCAACTTTGTGCATTTATCCACATCATTCCTCAACTCGGCTTTGTGGCAGATGCGCGGTGAAGGTACAACAATTCAGATGGTGAGTCTGAACAATGTTGGGTCTTGCAGAACCTAGCTGCTATCCGACTCTAAAGGGTTTCTGGACCAGGCTCAAGGCTCAGAGGAGAGGAAATATCATGAAAAACTACTGAAGACTCAGACTCATACTGATAACTGGTGAAAAGATAACTTGCTTATGTAAGCTACAAAAGTGCCAACATAAGGTGAGGTAAAAACAGTCTCTACAAGCCTAGCCAGAAATGAATCCCTACAGCGGTTCACAAAGGCAAATTCTACTCATTATCATTCATCCTTTTTCTTGAATAAGTACTTTGACAAGCAGATATATGACACCCTCTCACAAGGATAGATACCTTTTACTTTAGTCAAGTGTTTCACATTTAAATTGCATGTATTGTATGTATTGCATGTAGAATTGATGGAATTGGATCTTCAGCATGCTCTGACAGGGCTGACAGAGCCTAACACCACCCATAAGCGGTGCAAATTGCACAGGCACTACTGAGATGCACCACACCAGCATACTAGCTCCTACCAGATACCACTCTGCAGCACTCTGTCTAGTTCAGAGACATCTTGCAAACTGCCAATGATGACCACCTCATCGTTCGAACTTCCTGATGATGCCACATCATTTGACCTTTACCTTTGTGGGGCTTCACTTAGCTCTGCGGGTTTCCCACCTATAGGTGGATGCACCATTAGTACTGTCAAAGGTCTTCTGAGATCAGAGCTTGATAACAAAGTTATTGACAAGTCTGATCTCAAGAAGATGAAATTCACTGATTCCATATTTTGTGCACTCGTCCGAACATCCTCACTTCAGTTACAACACATCAACAAGATCAAGTACCATAAAAAGGATGGTTTATTAGTATACATTCAAAAAAGTGGAATTTCAATCAGAGGAAAAAGAGCAAGACAAGGGACTCAGAGAGCATTGATATAGATGCTACTGACTTGATTGACTCAGACAAAGAAGTTGAGGGTTTGGATTCTCATGGTTCAACAATCTTTTCCCAAGGGACTAATGGCACCTGGAGTGACAATGAATACAAGGGTAGTGAAAATACAGGATCAAAGAGGAAACAAAAGAAGTGTTCAACAGAGAGGGATTTACAGTACCTATTCCATACCATTCAGTGGGCCCTACACAATCAAAGCGGATACCCATTGAAACTTTCCTTCAAGATTTTGCCTATCAAGTGGTACTTGTCTACAGTGTTTGCCATCTCTTCCGTACAAGATCCATACAACATGCAGAAGCCAGATGTAGCCCAGTTCTATTACAAGAACAAACATTGGGAAAAAACATGGGCTGACATCTTGAGCTTTGTGGAACACACTTCTAGCAACCTCGCTGTAATGCATGACTTAGCAGTGTATTGGGGATCTGCTACCAAAGTGTACCTCATCATGCAAGAATGACCCTGGTGTCGTTTTGTTTTTGCTTACTCTATTTGTGCTGATGATCTTCATGTCCATTATTTTGACTGCTTGGGGCTCATCATATCCCTTCCAACCACAATCCATAAATTTCCCATACATGTTACTGAGGCAGTAGCCACAACCACATTAGCCAACCCGCAGTACTTGGGCCTTGACCCAACCATCCATATGTGCATCCCTGATGGTCACGGTACTCATTTCTCTCTTGCTGTGGGGGCAAAAGAATGGGTAATTAACAACAGCAGTAAAACTAACTCGATCATGGACATTGTATAGAAAAGTTAGGGTTTTTTCTGTCGTGAAACTGTTTGTTATCACATCAGAGATCCTACCAACCTGGATGGGAAGGATTATGTGATGAAGGACTGCTGGGTGCCTGAGGCAAAGAGGTATCATGAAGTGGATGTCCTCGAGCATGTCAAAGGCATTCCTAATGTCATTCAACTTGTGGATCATTGGGATGTCATGTACGATGGGGAGCCTGACTGCACAGCACAGATTTGTAATTACTACCAGCAGTTCGACCTGGAGGATAGGGGTGATCCCAGGTTCTGCAATCAATTTCACCAGTAGATTGTCATGACCCCTTGTGGAGAGCCGCTGTCAGATTTCAGCTCTAGAAAGGAGCTGATCTGTGCTTTTCATAACTTTGTCATTGGTGAGTTCAGTTCAGTTTGATACATCAAATTCAAGTATAACAATGTTATGATTTTAGCTCATAGACTCATGGTCGAATGTGAAATTCTACATGGGGACCTCAGCCCAAACAATTTCATCATCTATAAGAGTATCGGGTACTTCATCGATTTCGATCATACCAGATTTATAGAGAAAGGCAAGGCTTCTACAATTCATTTGGCACTGTAAGATCAAATTTCGAGTTTACTGTTCTCACTCAGGCTATTAATCTTATTTTATTAGGGGACCATCCCATACATCTCTATGTGTGTCCTCAAGATGATGTCCAAGAATGCTGAGACCATAAAAAAGACTGCTGACGCTACTCAGCTGCACCCAATCAAACACCATGTGTGCAATGACCTTGAGTTCATGTTTTTACATCTTTTCAAATTTGTCGTCAAGTATGGGGGGGCATATGGTATACTCGCACCAACATGAGATAAGCTGGTGATGCCATGGTCAGATACCTATGAAAACTTAGGTGCCAGTGGTTTGCTTACCACCTTCTTGTCTAAGAAGGCGGCCATACTTGAAGGCGACTTTTTGATGGACAGAGTCTCCAAATATTTTTCAGAATTCAAACCTCTAGTTGATGAATGGCTTGGTTGAATCCACCTCACAGAAATTAACACCAGTGAAACAATCATCCATGATCACATATTTCAGATGCTTGTTGCATTCATTATGAAACTTGATGATGAAATACCAGACCCGGACCCACTGCCCTGCCCTCCCTCCCAGCCTGCAACTCTTCAATCCATGGCAGGTCCTTTGGCCCTTCCACGCACTGGCACAACATGGCCTTTGATAAGCCAGCTAGGCCCACACCATTTACAGCAACTTGCTTCCATGACTCAGCCCAGGAGGACTAGATACTAGACAGAGAAGTCTCATCACCCCATTCTGAGTCATACCATGCTGGCATGGCTAGTTCTAAACTATTTTGTCTTCTCTGAGTCTGCCTGTTTTGTCCTTATAACTTTGCTGTACCTTTTCTTCTCGGTCTACTGTGAATCTTTTATTGTTTAGGATGCCTCTGTATACTGTCATAGTATTATGATTACATAACATTTGCTTACATGATGCCTATAACTAACCGACCTGCACTGTTTATTGCTTTGCTGATATCCAATGCCTCCCAAGAGGAGAGCTAGATGTTCTACTATTGATGCTCAGGATGATATGACACCTGAGGTTGCTTGTTGACAAAGCTCAAGATCCAATCGTGGTGTTGGCGGTGTAGCACTCGGACTGGCATTGGTCGTGTATCCTGCCAATCTCATAGGTACCTCACATTATACTCCTCAACACTCCCTTTCTCTTCCAAGAGTTCTGTGCACTCATCCAAGCTGTCCAAAGATCATCTGTCCCTTTCCGAGGCCTGTATAGACTTCCGATCCTCCATACCATGTCCTTTCTGTGTCCGATTGACTTCGCTGGTGCATTTTCACTTGGTTTATCTGTTATTGATTATGTCTTAGGGGCACATACATCAAAATGCCTGATTAATATGTATAGCTGCACGTCTCGTGCACTATTACATGCATATCTCTGTAGCGGCTCACCATGAGTCTTATTACATTTCGGATGGCTTATCCTGCTACTGGTTTCACCTATGCAGATTCCGGACTTCCACGCTGTAAGATATAATCTGGCTCGCTAGATGCTTGCACTTCACTTCACTTTCCTTGCTATGAGTCATAGTTTGTAGAGTCACTTCGGATAGTCATACTTCACGCAATCAATCTTTTGTTCATTCAAAACGATTGTTTGGCCTGACTGCTGCCATTTTGCGTCTCACTGTCTCTTAGTTCTTCCGATAGGCTTTGTTAGTCATACTTTGGTACTTCTACTAGTCTTACACTTCGACACACTTCGACAAACCCGCTGTATTCCTTTCTTGGAACCTTCGCTGTTCGCCAGACACTCTTCGGATGCTTCGTGCAACCTCGGACCTTTGTTTCTTGACATTGGACCACCTTCAGACACTTTGGATGTACCTTCGGAAACATAGGACGCACTCTAGGTATCATTCCTTCTCTCATCTTCAATCTTAACAAGACATCCCTTGCATTTATATCAAGAGGTAGTTCTATAGGCAGTCTCTTTGGGGCAAGCATCACACTTGCACTTAGAGATTCTGTTAAGAACGTGCTCAAAGGTCGGATCCGAAGGGCTTGGCTTCAGCTCGTGCGCTGCGCCCCTTACCCGAGTACGTGCCCCTAACTTCCGAGGGCTGTCGAACGATGTCCGAAGGTTACCGGACGATGTCCGGAGGGCATCGGGCGATGTCTGGAGTCCGGAGTCTGATGTCCGATGCGCGGGAATTCCGGCGGACGTTCGGGAACAAGAGATAAGACTAACCCGGACGAAGTCCGAACTAGAAAGGAAACAGCGGAGGACTACCAGAGGTAGAGGCAGAGGTGACAAGTCTATAGGAATTGATCCTAAGACGAGTGGAGGTCAACGAGAGAGAAAACTCAAGTCGGACGGAGGAGGGAATGAGCAGAGTCTAAGATGATATTCGAACTAAGGATGTACATAGATTCTACAGGGTTTATATACTACTAAGGACTTATCGGAGAACAGAGACGCGCAGTCCGAAGCTATACAAAGCTGTGGACGGAGCGTATAGAAAAGTCAAACGCTAGTCTATCGGAAAATAGTAAATGAACCCGGAGATTAGAACAGATGAAAATAAAGGCGGAAATGAAATGAGGTACAGAAAATGATATAGTCTAACTGGAGTAGGAACATACAAAGGGATAAGGCGCAGAAGTTAGACGCGGGTCGGATCCGGACGATAGAGAGAAGTCGGCCGGATCCGGAAGTCCGGAAATGATGTATGTGTGATTGGTCCGGGTCCGGAACGCGGGATATGACAGTATCCCCCCCTTAGGGCCGAGCCCATGAGGCTTCTGATCTGGAAGTCCAGACCGGACTTCTATGAATGCGGGATGATGGGTGGAGCTCGTAAAAATAGACCTGGACATATAAGTAGGCCAGGGCACCCATGAGACGTCTAAAACTTTCCCCCTAACTCCTATTACTGTTTTAACATGTCTAACTCCACTTCCGGCAACTCGAAGTCCGCCCGGCAACTCCTCCAAGAGAGGCAGGCGGAAATCACGGCGGAAATCACACGACTCGAGGCGGACACTTGGAGAGAGGCGGAGGAAGAGGAGCGCAAACGCAAGGAGGCGGAAGAGGAACGGAAACGGATGGAGGAACAGAAGCGGAAGGATATCGAGGAGACTCGGAAAAGGTTGGCTGAGCATGAGCAGGAGCATTTGGCAAAGGCTAGGATGGGTAATGCGTCGGAGGTGAGTCGGATGAGGTTTTTTGTGTTTTTCCGGAGTTTAACAACATGTTAGTCCGGCGGATCCGGAGGTTGCGTGTGAGATGTGCGTCCTTAGGCGCAAGATTTGCACCTGGGCAGTAGCATCTAAGACGCCTAGGGTGAGTCTTCTGTTTTGTCCGGATCCGGATGATTACTGATGATTTCCGAAAGATCCGGACTTGCGACCAGTGCCGCGCGTCCAAGGAAAAGTGCGTCGGCGGAAATCTGCCTGTCAAGGCGCCGGCAGGCAAAGGCAAAGGCAAGAAATGTGCGCATCCGGAGGGATCTCCGAGCCCCAAGGGCAAAGGAAAAAGACGTCAGCGCAGTCCAGAGGACATCAACGACGACGTGGAAATAGTCTCCAATCCCCAGACGGTCATTGGAGAGGATCAAGACTGGGCAGAGTACGATGACCAGGCCTAGGTCGCAGCCGCCAACAACATTGTGGTGGAACTGGCCCGGACCAATGGGCTGATGGAGAGGAGTGTTGCAGCGGCAGAAGGAAGTAGGGCTGCGATGGACCGGGTGAGTGAAAACATGCTCCGGTTCATGGAGGAGCAGAGGGTGTTTCAGGCTCTCTTCATGGAGAGTCTGAGGAACGGTTTCCGGATGCATGTAGAAGATGCTCCGGAGGAGGAAAATGGGGAGGAGGCGGAAAAAGAGGCCGGCGGATCCGGTGGAGATATGGAGATGGACTCTTAGGTTGTCGGATCCGAAGTCCGGATATCGGACGCCTAAATAAAGTACATATATGCATGTCCTTTTTTACTCTTTGTTAGAAGTTGGTCCCGGCTTATCTGGATATGCCAAGTGGAAATCCGATAGAAGTTCTGGCGCATTTCCGAGTTCAGTTGCAAGTATCCAGGAAGTTTCTTCGTCCGTCCCCTCATATCCGGCCCAACATACTAAGTATAGTAGTTGACAGTGACGTCTCCAGCGGTCGATCTTGGAGTCCAGGATTTCGGAGATTTCGTATTCCGGTTCTCCGTCGACTAATACCGCAGGCGGAGGAGGTTGGATGCGATTAGGAATAGTGTTCGGAGTTGCAGGTTCTAACTGAGAGACATGGAATACGGGGTGCACGGATTGCATAGTGTCCAGAAGATGGATGGTGAAGGAGTGGGTGCCGGGACGAGCAATGATGTCGAATGGTCCGAGATTCTTTTCCGAGAGCTTTTTTGATGGTCGGGTTGAGCGGAAATATTTTGCTTTGACGAAGACCTGATCTCCGACTTTGAAGTCCGGAGCGGGTTTCCGTCTAGCATCTGCGGGTACCTGATATCGTTCTTGGGCATGGGACATTTCTTCTCGGAGGAATTGATGAAGCTCGTCTAGATCTATAGCATAATCCCGGGCACGGGCGGAGGAGAGATCATGCTCCGGATGTATGGAAATGTTCAGGTGATAACCCTTATTGGCGAAGAATGGTGAAACTCCGGTAGTAGCACTAGGAGCGTTGTTGTAAGCAAACTCGGCCAAGGGTAACAGTTCCGACCAATTATCCTGCTGATAGTTGCAGTAGATCCGGAGGTATTGTTCTAGGGTTTGGTTAGCTCGCTCGGTTTGTCCGTCGCCTTCCGGATGATATCCGGAGGTGAAATGGAGGATCATATCTAATGCTTTTCCGAGTGACCGGAAGAAGTGGGAAACGAATTCCGTACCGCGGTCGGAAGTAACATGAGATGGAACTCCGTGCTTGGAAAACACATGGAGGAGGAATAACCGGGCGAGGTCCGGAGAGGTGATGGTGTTGTAGGTCAGAATGAATATGGATTGCTTGGATAGTCGATCTATGACTACCAGGATGGCTGTGAAGCCAGAGGAATCAGGGAGTTGTTCGATGAAGTCCATTGATATAGAATTCCACGGCTTCTCGGGAATGGGGAGTTGCTTCAACAATCTGTATGGTTTATGCCTCGGAACTTTGGCTCGGGCGCAGGTCGTGCAAGACTTGACATAGTCCTTGACATATGCGCGAATTCCGGGCCAAGTATATTCCCAACGGATAATTTCCAGGGTCCAGTTCTGACCAAAATGTCCGGATAGGGGGTGGTCGTGTGTATTCCGGAGCACTTGGAGACGGAGGTCATTGGATTCCGGAACATATATACAGTTGTCACAATGGAGGAAACTGTTGGATATTAAACCCTTCGCTATGGTCACTCGGTCCCGCTGTATTATCTAAGTACCTACAAATATCGTTTGTTCTCGCGCACTTCGTAGCTTCCCTCAGTTGACTTCGCACGTCCGCTGAGGTTAGTAGCATCTT